GATAATGATACCAAGCCCTTGGGTATCATTAGGTATGTTTGGTGAAAACAGATTGCCTTAACTATGGCTGGCTGACTTCCAGCATAATATGCATTTTGAAAACGACAGTTTAACTTTTTTTTTCCCCTGTTTTTGGAGTGGATTTTGCCAGTGGCCTTTACAATATTTTCTCTATAATAAAAATTTATCTCATTATCGGTTCCTCTCCCTCTTCCTGCACTTTCTCACAAACCACCCTCAACCACCTCCTGGATCCTACTGTCCAGGACAATAATTAATTTTGTTGGGTGTTCAGGAAAAATCTTGATACAAGTTGCAGCTCTAAAGTGATCAGATTGACTCTAAAAGAGGTATTGAGTCTTTGAGCCACTCCCCAAATAAAAAGACAAGGTCTTCCACAAGGGGCATGCTGGAGGAGACCCTCACCCAGCTTCACACCAGCTAACTGGAGCTAACTGTTTTCTTTAGATCAAGTCATGTTTCTGGGGGTATGAGTGGTATGAAATGTTTAAATATTTGCAACAATAATGAGCATATTAAAATGAAAATCTAGACTATGAAAAAATTAGTAATATTAGATTAAAACAAACCTAGGGAGAATGAATGTTTATTGGTTATAAACAAATGACTTAAACCCGAGATTAGTTGATGGAGATGTTAAGTGCAAGCAAGCCAGTAATTTCACAGCTCCATATATTTTAGATGAAGCTTCCTGTAAAGACTGCATCATTAGTATACTCGTAATTCAATTTAGGCTACACTTACGGCCATGCTTACATCGAGATAAAAGCCCTGTGCCGTCCATTTCACACTGTAAACTGTAATTTCCATCTCACTTCCTATGCGGTCACCACCAGAGCACTCCACTTAGCATGCATCCTGCTGACACAGAAGAAATATGGTTTCTTTTCAAAATTTGTTTAAAGGAGGAATAGGAAACTGCATAGAAAGAGAACCTATTTTTCCACAAATTGAAAACTGGAGAAAGACCAAGTTAGAGAATAATGTATTCTTCTGATCCTTTCAAGGCACCTCAGTAGCCTGGAGCTCGAAGAAAGAGAACTGCTCCCCAAGAATTGCTCCTCCCCTTGAAAAACCAGAAGTGTTCCCTTCAGTCTACTGAGAGGGGTTTTCTTGGGCCTGTGAGCAGATAAAAAAGGTTTATGGGTGAGGGGGGGGGGGGGGGGAAGGCAGGGGCAACCAAACTTTGTTTTCTAAAAAAGAAGGAAACTTTGTGGAGGACAAGACAAAACCTGGACCTGGTTGTGAGGACTGTCCCTTCTCCTACCACAGGTCCAGGAAGACAAGTCAAAGTTTGCAGACCTTAATGCCTTTGCAAGGACCCCAAAGCTCCAAACCACCTGACTACGCTGGTTTTCCTACCATTCATTTTTCTGATACTTACTGATTCCATCTTTTCCTTCCACTCATCCCCAGCCTTATTTAACTCTATGTGACTCTGGGCAAGTAATTTATTATCCAAAGGTATCTTTTCATCTCTAAAATAAAGACAAGGTAGTGAAGAATCTCTGACTCCAGTATGATACAATAGGATTCTGTTCCAGATCATCTTAATCGTAATCCTTAGGCTGACTGGGTGAGCAACCTTTCACTCTTCCCAGACCGCTTCCAACATTGTCTGACAAGGATGGTTTCCTCAGTTCTACTCCCTCCTGTCCCTTTCAAATCAAATCATTGCACTGCTCAAAATCTATAATCGCTTTTGCTTGATATATCAAGTTAAGCTTAAAGGAAATTTCACAATCATCTTTAATTTGGTCCCATGCAGCCCAACACCCATTTCCACATATAGCATGACAAACACACTGCATTCATGGCTGTCTTCAGCATGACTTACCTTTGCAAACTTTCTTCAGTCTCCCTACTTAACCAACTCCCTCTTCTGCTCGACATCTCCCCAAATCGCACTGGCCTTTCACTCACCCAATCCTCAGTGTCCTCAGCACCAGATGGGTGCCAGTCTCTGCAGCTGACTGCGTTGTGCTGGCATGTAACTGCTGTCTCTTCAGAATCAGAGGCTTTCAGGCAACAAAACTTTTATCTTAAAAATCTGTGTTCTCCCTCCCGATATCATTTTATACCCCATCGAACTCTTGGAAAACTGATGTGTGTACATACATATTTTTCTTTCTAATGAGGCCAAACTTCTCTACAAACAGCCAAGTTATAGTAAGCAGGGTTTTTGTTTTGTCTTTATTCATTTACCTCAAGTGGTTACTTTTAAAAAAAGGAAGCACATAATACTGTGACAAATGTCCCAAATTATATACTTGTGTTGAGGCATGTTCCTTATAGAATTAAGCCTACAATAATCTGATTCCAAATGTTATATAAAATTTTAATGTTATCTTTAGTTACAATATTAAGGTAAAAGAAAAATGTATTTTTTTTTTAATCCTTACCCTAGGACACTTTTCCATTTTTTGTTCAGATAGAGTGGGAGGGAGGGAGAGAGAGAAATGTCAACGTGAAAGGGACACATCGAGTGGTTGCCACCTGCACGACCCAACCAGGGCTGGGGACAAACTGCAACCGAGATACGTACCCTTAGCGGGAACCGAACCCGGGTCTCTCTGGACCTCAGACTGACGCTCTAACCGCTGAACTAAACCGGCCAGGGCCTGGTTAGTACCTTTTAAAGATCTTTGTGGTTCTGGGAAAGCTAGCTGTATGGCAAGGAACAGAGCAATGGCTGCCAATACCACAAAGTCAGCACAAGTATAAACTACATCTTGTAGCAAAAGCTTATCTAATGGAAATATCACGTAGATGATGCAAGGTTACAAGCAAAGCAAATAACAACAAATAACAGAATACCAAAACAAATAACTTGATAAAAACAAATAACAGAATACCAAAAGAATCACAGTTGAAATATTAGTGACTTTGAAAACACTTTTGGTAACCTTGAGTCATTTGAACAATACTTACTAAATGTGCTTTATGTCTCAGGCACTGTGCTATGCTCCTCACTGGTGGTATATTTCATTAAATCTTCACAACTGCCCTGAGACAGGCACTTTTAAATGTCACTTTACAAACCAAAAAGTGAGGTTAGAGAGGCTACAGAAAGTACCCAAAGTTTGAGAAGTGGTAGAACCAGGATTTAAATTTGGAACTTCTAGAGTCAAAAAAATGTTAAGATTCAATATACAGCCCTGGCCATTGTGGTTCAGGTTGTTGAGCATCATACCATGTACCAAAAGGTCAGTTTTGAACCCTGAATTTTAGATTTGTGCATTTGACTAATTTGTTCTGTGATCCACAGGCTATCTTAAGCTATTAAGAGAAAGAACTATGTTTATCTGCTTTCTAAGTCCCTCAAATAGTAGCAAGTATTCTGTGTAGCAGGTTCCCAAAAGTGGACTGAATCACCGGAGTAAAGCTAAGCAGGATGAAGTCATGTGTTTCATTCCCAATTCACTTTTGACACTCTTAATGTAAGAAAATGTATTCCAAAATAAACCTTCTGTGGTTCTATTAAGCTGTCAATACTACTTTGTTGTTAAAATGCTTTAAAGTAGACAGATTAAAAAAAAAATACATACATTTAAATTCAAAGCTATGTACTTTTGCCCTGGACAGTTTGGCTCAGTGGTTAAAGCATTGGCCCGCGGACCAGAGAGGCCCGGGTTCGGTTCCCGCTAAGGACATGTACCTCGGATGCAGTTTGTCTGGTTGGGGTCATGTGGCCGGCAACCACCTGATGTGTCTCTCTCACGTTGATGTTTCTCTCTCTTTCTCCCTTTCTCCCTCCCGCTCTACCTGAAGATAAATACAAAAATGTCCTCGGGTGAGGATAAAAACAAAAAACAACAACAAAGGAAACTATGTACTTTCAAAATTAGTGTAAATGTCAAGACATTAAATTTGACATTTTCTTGCATTTGTATTAAAGTGAACTTATTAATGATATGTCTGCAAATAGTCAGTAAAATTAATTTTACAAAGGTGAAAGGGAATCTGCTCTGTATCACTCTTGGAAAAAAAATGTGCTGATACTGCCTCTGGTAGATGACAATCACAGATGCAAATAAATTAAGGACATCCTGTCTGGTTAACTGTGTGGTGACATTGCCATCTAGTGGTCATTTTCTGCTGCAGGTGATGCTCTGGTCTCCTGGGCAATGCGGAAGGGACTGGATATAATCAGGTACATATAGTACTTAAGTACCCATCTTCATGTCTCACTGGATTATAGTCTCTGAGGGAGGAACCATGTCTTATGTGTTCTTTCTTGCCTACCCTCAAGAAGTATCAGCTAAGAATATTAGAATTTTTTCACTCTTCCTTCCTCCCCCCCCCCCCCCCCCCCACATACCCCTTACTCTTCTACTTCTACTCAGGCCTGCATAAAAACTGGCAACTGTAAAAACTGTGCTGGGACTATTTCACATTTCTGTTCCCGTGACCACATTAAATTTAAATAACAGAAAAAATTATGCATTATTGGCTTATCCTTAATACTAGAGAACAACAACAAAAATAGACAGCTGTGAATTCTTTCAGTGGTTCAATAAAATGCAACCAAATTGTTAGAATTTCATAAGGATAAACATCGTTAAAATTACCATTCTAATACCTGCGCTTTACTGAAAGCCTATAAAGTGCATTCTGTACACTGCTTCATGGGGTGCTCAAAACCACCCTGCAAAGTAGTTACAAATCTAATTTTAAAAGCAGAAAATCCGATATGGTGAAGGAAAGAGAAATATGACTTGTCTATAGTTGTTTCCACTAGTAAGTGGGAAAGCTGGGATTTGAAAGCAAGCAATCTACCTATTTTTGGTAGAGAACAAAAAAATAACAAAAACAGTGACATTTAGATTTTAAAAAATACCCAAATATTCCTAATAAAAATTATTCTGAAAAACAGAGTTTAGCAAATATACCAGTCATCACAATTATTTAGAAAATTGGATTGCTTTAGTAGAATTACCATAATTATTCTTTAGAAAACATGTACTGAATGAGTCAAATTTATACATGAGAGTTTGTTTATTTATCTGCCTTGGTCCAAAAAGAACTAAAGGTAGCTTAATAAAAAGAGATCATAGTAAATTTCTGAAAAAATTCAAGTTCTTAAATATATTACTCTCCCCAAAAGCTAGCTGCTTCCAAGCTTGACTTAATATTTTGCATGTTTTCTCTCCGTTGCTTGGTAAATATATTTGCTTCTCCTTTCTGCAATCGACGTCTGACAGCGGATTTTTGCTGTTTTGTCAACTGACGTTTCACCTTCTGTTTCACCAATTCCTGGAAAGATTTCAATAAGTATCACTGATGATTGACCATTTTGATATAAAAAGTAAACACTCAATAAAACAAAGTGACATCGCTAATATTTTTCAAATTTCTGTTAAAAGCATGTTTAAAATTCTAAATATTAATAGTACTACACAAATCAGCAACAAAATAAAACACAAAATTGTTATAAAATAGAGTACATTCCTAACAGAAATACAGATTACAGCAGAGTAGTCACAATTCTTTGAATAACAAATCACCATAGTGCCACCTAGTGTCAATCAGGAAAACTTAAAGAAAGAAAAAAACCCTCAAAACCCAATCAAAACTAACATGGTAAAAACTGCTTGTTCCTCTGCTTTCTAGGTAAAAATAGGCAAGTCTTTGTAGTACAAAATTATGTTTGAAAGCATTCACTACTGGTAAAAATATCCAAAACAGACCATCACTTCAGGTGTGGAAATGACCTGATGGCAGCAGTTACCCAAGAAAAGTCTTCATACAGTTTTTGCGAGATGCTGAATGCTTTCTCATAGTGAATGGTCATAAATTCAAATGATTTCTTATTACTTAGGACAAAGGCAGCCAATGACTGCCAAGATTAATACAATTTTTGAATATTCCATTCATAACCTTTATTTCCTCAGCAACACTGTAGCTTTTTATTTAATTGTATAATAACCTTGCATCATTCAAGTTTCCTCCTAAAAAAAGATGCTAAAAACTTTAAGGGTTGAAGCATGGGAATCCTCTTAATATGCCCTACCTTGTGACGCACAAAGATGCATTTAAGGCTGTCCCCCCAAACTAGGAAGGTCAGCGATTTAGAAGGATCTGAGCTGGAAGTTTAAATAAAGTAAGAGTGACTGGCCTCCAGGCCTTCCCTAACCTAGCAATCCAGGCAACTATCAGTCTCCCCACGCTAGCAGGAGACCAGAATCCTGGACACATTCTCTTCTTAACCACAACAAAAGCAATAAAGCAATACCTTCAGAATTCTAAAGGAAAATTATTTCCAAACCACAACTCTAATACTTAAACTCCCAATCATCAAGTGTGAGGACAAAATAAAAAGACATTTTTAATAATAAAACGTTTCCTCAAAATTCACTCAAATAACTCTTGGACTCTATACTGCCAATAAAGGATGAAACAGGAAAGAAAGAGAAGGAGCTGAGAAAGAGGGCACCCAACAGACAGGGAGATGAAATACCCCAGGAAAACAACAGGAGAGCATACACCATGTTTAAAAGAGAAATTCAAAAAGGCCTCCAGAATAGTTCCAAGAAAAAAAATCAGTATCTTTTCCAAATATTCTGCTTGAGTTTCTTCTCAGTTCTTCATTTTGATGAGACCTTAAAATAACTATATCAAATTTATCAAGCTGAAGCAAATTTCCATAAGAATGTAGTTAAGATGATCGATTTACTTCAGAGATAAGAGAGAAACCAGGGTATACTAAGGAGACACGTTTCCTCTGTAAAAGGCAAACTTAGTACTTTATAATACAATTCATTATAGGCTTGACCCACTTTAAACGTTAAGTTCCTGCTGTTAGTGGTAAGGAAAATGGGATACAGTCATGACTTAAAGATATCTGTGCCATCATCTCTACACACAGAGTACAAATTAGAATCTAAGAAAGTAGCATGAATTAGCAATCTAACTTTTTTTTACATAAAATTGCCAATTTTATACCATCGTAATTAGCTATAAAAGCCTTATGCTTTGAATCTGAGAAATCAAAGAAAGGAGGGTAAATCTCAGTAAGTATAGAAAGTATAAAAACCAAGAATGACCAGAAACCATGAAGTGTGATTCTAAAGACAGGTGATAATACTTAAAAGGATATTTTTATGTTTTAGTATAATCAATAGATGTTTCAAAGATTATACTGAATTAAATTTTATGTCCAGAAAACCAGGTAAATTATGAGGCCATCAGAAAAGAGTATATAAAAACCAATACATTTCTAGAATTTCACTTTTATTTTGGTCGGAGAAGCTCCAAAGACTTCTATTATTAAGCAAAGGTCCCGAACTATTAAAAGTGTGCTAATGTTATAAAATACAGTACTGTTACTTTTGGCTTGTTTTTGATAATTCAAATTTAATTTTAGAAATATCCCATTATTGCCCACCACAGAACATACATTTTATTTTTATTTTTTTTTATCCTCACCCGAGGACATTTTTCCATTTTTTGCACAGATAGAGTGGGAGGGAGAGAGAGGAAGAGAGAAAGAGAAACATCGATGTGAAAGAGACACATCAAGTGGCTGCCACCCGCACGACCAACCAGGGCCGGGGACAAACTGCAACCGAGGTACATGCCCTTAGCGGGAACTGAACCCGGGTCTCTCCGGACCGCAGGCCGATGCTCTAACCACTGAGCCAAACCGGCCAGGGCCAGAACATACATTTTAACTTCCTGATAAATATAACTGAATGTGGATGTGGGAAGTTCAGGAAAAAAAAACAAAATTCTTTTCTTTTGAATTCACTTTCCACATAATTTTATTTCCTCCTTTCTAACTTCTAAATGGCTTTTCTCCTTTTAACTCATCACTAAAACTGGTTTCAATGATATTCAACAAGATACCTTTAAACAGAAGGAAAAATAACCAACACACCAATTATGTAATTTTATCTCTCCCCTTAAGATCTACAAAGGCACCTGATTCCTCCTGCTGGAATCACTCAGAGAGAAGACCAACAGGCAGGGAAGCTAGCTCCTCAGCAGGAGCTGGACTATCTATTCGTGCTCAATTATTCTGTCCAGAAAACGTCCCTTCTGAAATTCTTCTGGACACTGCTGCTAAATGTCCAACAAACACCTGAGATAGCAAAAATTATAAAATTACCCATTTCTCTTTTGTTAAATTTAAGAACAACTATCTAGTGAAGCTGGTGCATCTTCACACTTGTTGGGTAACATTCAGCAAAGTCATGCAACCTAGTTGGGCCTCAGTTTCCTCACTGTTATAATGTTGGGACTAGACCATATGAGAATCTACAAAGTCACCCTACTGAATCTAAATTCCTATGATCTTACCCTTCAAATTCAAGCTTACATGCTACTTTTTCCATGAAAGCTTTGATCATTCCAGCTAAAAGTAACCCACTCATCTACATTACTAAATTTGTACTTGTTATAATTTTATACTATTAACACGTGAAGTCCAAATGGCTGAGACTGCCTTGTGCATCATGTAATCCTCCCATGCAACCTGCCTATAGTAGTGACCTAATAAACAATTGTAAACATTGAATGAGTGATTACCGGAGGAATTGTTGAACAGCTTAAAATACTGCCTGCAGAAGTAACGCTCAGAGTTCTTGTTCTATATTGATTAATATCTTCCATATTTTCTTCATCTCTAAAATTAAAACACCACAATTGAGTTAATTTTTATAGTTAATTATGCTTGATTAATTTATATCATTCCTTACATGATAAAACTTAAAGACATAAAATAACCTCAGAAATATGATCATACTTCTGTGAAGGTATAACTACCCACAATTCAGCCAAATATATTGTTTTCATTTTTTCAGCATTCTGATAATCACTATCAAAATGTCAAAATATTATATAGAAATGTAGAATATTTTGGCCATCAAAACTTGTTATCACTTAGCCACACTTCATATTTTTTTCCCTCTTCTTTCACTTAAGTTCCCAGCCTCCAGAACTTTGAGAAATCCATGTTTTTCCCTTTGAACTTATCTTTATTGTTGAAATTATTACAGATGTCCCTTCTTTTTCCCATTGACACCCTCCTCCCCCTCCTGTTCTCCTTGCCTTCACTGTACTGTTGTCTGTGTCCATTGGTTATGCACATAAGGTCTTTGGTTCATCTCTTCCTGCCCCCTGCACTCTTAACTATACACAAATCTGACTCTTGCAATCTAGATCCTTGGGACAGTTTCTTGCCATCTTCCCAAACAAAAGACAGTATTCTATAGCATCTACTTTGCTAAAATAGAAAGACTGCAATGACAGAAACTGTCTAATTTGTTTTATGCATTGCTCAAAGTTTTAATGTATAAGAAACTCAGATGATATTAATTTGTAACAGTCAACATTTTTCAGAAACATGTTATATTTCTACTTTTGAATGATAAAAATTTTGCCCAACACGTGTTCAGAGAGTAAGAACAAATTGTTCTGTGCTTAGAAGACTATTTAACCTATATAGATTTTCCTCTATTACTCAAAATCCTGAGCCACTGCCACCCTTAACATTAATTGAATTTTACATGTTTATTATTAAAGTGCTACTAACCCTGAGTCTCAAGATAGTTATATGGAAAAGGAACAAAATTATTGTATTATGCTTTACAAACAATAAAGGCAGCTTTAAGATGTAAGCCTGAACATGTATTGAGAAATGCCTAATAAATGTACTAATTTAATTTTGTCATATTACTATTTTGAAATAAATAAAACTGTATTTCATTAAACTATAGTTGTTTATGAATAAACTATCCCAAAATCTAAAAAGTAAATTTTACATCATTTGCTAATCTAAGCTGAGTGATTAGTATTTGCAAGAAAAAAATTATCCAAAGAAAAACAACATAGTAACATTACATTATTTTACATGACCAAATAAGAACAGAAGGTTTAAAGTACCAGTGAAAATTCACTATTTAATGAAGAGCAAACATTAGATGTATAATTATGAAAATATATAAATAATTCATTCATCTAAAATATGACCAATTGAGTAAGAAATCTGTATTAATTCTTTGAAAGTAATCAGTTTCTATTTTAAGGCAGACTGCTTAAGATTGAGTGAATGTGCTGTCTAGGATCAGGTCGATTGTAGAGGATAAATGGAATTTTAACAAAAGGGTTATTTGTTTTAATTTTACATATTACAGCCACCACAGAAAACAACTCAGCCACAGCATTTGAAAAAATACTCATTTACCAGAATCAAAGGAAAGTATAGGTCTCCAGATTAAAGTAAAAAAATCAATCAACAGAAATCTATACCTGAAAGGCCTGAATTCTTTGTTCAGTGAAGACAAGGCAATCAGATAAGGGCATTCATCTTCATACTCCTCAGAGCCCGTGGGGATTCCTCCCTGACCTGTGATGCCACCTTGCCTGGTGGTGTCATTGTCAGTGTTGATTTTCTCCTCCGAAAGCTCAGTTTCAGAACTGTTTTCAACCTGCCCTTTCATTTCTAAAGCTTGGCTGCATTCAGTCATGTCAAAATTGTGTGCATCAGCACTCTCCTCTGACAAGCTGTCTTCCTTTATTTGTTCAAGGTCCCTAGACGATCCACAGCAGCAGTCAACTGATTCATCCACAGAGTTCCATTCACTTTGATTTTGTGACCGACAACCCTTTTCTTGTTCTGATACCTCTTCATCAGAAAATGAGAATTCAGATCCTTCCTCTGTTTCAGTATCATTTGGACCCAATGGATGAAGCAGGTCATCGTCTGCCTGCATTTCCTTTGTGTAGCCACTGGCAGAAACCTCTACATCAAGAGAGTCCTCCCTCCTACGAAAAGAAATGTCAAGTATTCAGAGAGAAGAGAAAATCTACCTGACATGGATAAATATTTATTACTGTGAAAAATTATAATTCTTAAGTGATTTTAATAGTTTAAAGGAAAAGCACAAATTCTGATAAACACCTGGCTTGATTCCTTACAGATGGATAATTCACACAGCTTCACTATATTGAATAAAAGTTCTTGAATTTGTAAGCAACTAGGTGTGTTCCTCCCCCAAATTCAGTAACATTGTCTTAATGGATCAAAACCAGGTATTTTCTAGGTTTTTAAGTTTCATTTATATACCATCAGCTATGATACTCAACAATGATTACAATGTGTCAAAGGTCACTCACTATCTGAAAATATTTTAGATGAAAATGTTAATTTATAGAGCTAAATAAATCAGGTATTTAGCAGAGTTCTAGTTTTTAAGCATTGCAGAGTACAAACCTGATATCACTAAAGGTTGGATAAAGCTCACTTTCATAGCTGAAACGTTTCATGAAGAAATCTCTAATGCATTTAACATCTCTGTCAAAATACCTGCAGCAAAAGAAAGAATCATTTTTGATACAACCTTTGTTGTTTATTTTTTCTTTATTAGGTAATGACAATATCCTTAGTGTTTGCTGTTATGACACTTCTATTTCTAACATGAAAGAGAAAAAAGGATGTTACTTAAAAAAAAAAGTAAAGAAAAAAAAAATATTTTGACACTGTGTTTGAAATACTCAAGTAAAAGCAGAGGAACTAATAAGAAATAAAGGCATATATGTCAAAGGCATATAGCGCCTATGGTTAGAAAACTCAAGGTCTTCCCATATGCAACAGACATACTAAGAGAAAATAAGATATGAATCTCAGAAAAAAAGACGATGGGTCTATAATTTGGGGGCTGGTTTCCACTTTCCTCTATACTCTCCAGTCTGTCTGGTTATACTTCCCATTAGCTACACCCAGTTTAACCCCTTGTCAACTGCAAAATCTGAAGATAAAAACAGATTAGTAACTTATTAAGAAAAAGTTTGAGAACTACTGAATTATGTTCATGTACCTTTACTATCTATAGCTCTCTTGTAATAACTTCTAAAAGAGATAAATAATGCTGTGGCTTATAAAGAATAATCTGAAAACATGTTATCCGGACTGATAGAAGGACCTCTGAATATCTGGTTGCTTTTTAGGTCACCATAAAGCAGCAAGAGCAGATTAAATTCTCTAGTTTCCAAATAAGGGAGAATTAAGGGTGTCAAGAAATTGACTATCTCCTCGAATTTTAACTAAATTATTATTTTAGAGAAAGACGAAGTTTGGAAATAGAAAAAAAAAAAATGTCACTATTCTTGGCTCTTAGGGCACCCAGGGAAAAAAACCCTCAATAAATAATTTTAAAATTATATTTTTATATATGCTTAGATAATAACATCTTCAAAAGCAGAAATAGGTCTTATTTATATCTTAATCTCTACTATTTAACAGAACTCCTTCACTCAATTACTTGCCCATAAAAGTTCAAGTTAAATCACACTGTCTTCACAATTAAGAATGCAGCCTTAACTTAGAATGTAATAATCTGTCATCATTTCTGTCTCTAATTCTGCTAGTTCCTAGATGTTCCTTTATTGTGTGACTATGTTGCACCACTTTAATAAAAATGGTAATTAGTCATTATACAAAAATATATTAACTATTGAAGCGCCAGGCATTAACCTATTAGTACTGTTTTGTTGAAAATATTTTTTAAGTTTTTTTTAATGACATCTCTTTTTCTAAAATAAGTATTGATATTTTCTAATAAAAATCAGGATGAAGAGCTTCACTGAACATAAACTGGTTCAAGCTTACACTTTGCTCATATTATTCAAGTGAATAGTTTATCTTTGAGAAAAAGGAGAAGCTTCTCATATTATAACTTGGAACAGGAAAAAACAATACCCTTAATTTGATTACACTCAATTGCATCATGGAATACAAATAAAGAAAAGTATTCTGTCATATTTCACAATTTGGCTGGTTTAAGTGGTTAAGTAATGTGAGGAATAAGATTATCATGGTATATAAAGTGGTTCTGCCCTGTGTCAGGGATGAGGTTTTATGGGAATTCCTTTCTAATAATAAAATAAAAACTAAAAATGACACGAGAGATATTATTAGTCTGGCAACAGAGTCCAGTCCAAATCCATAAATTTTATTAAGGCCATCAAGATTATTGAATCATGTTTGTGAAACCCTTTTGGAGGCAACCATGGAGAAGAAAAAGGGGAAGGTGGGGGCCTTCCATGTCCCTACTACTTCTGAGCAAGGTTTTGTTTTAAAAATTGGGCTTCCACCTAAATGTTTGTTTGAATAAAGGATTCCATGGTTAAGAAAATTTGACGTTTGAAAGTCTGTCAGATTATAAGAGTAATTCAAATGGTTTTTATGGTTTCTTCAGATTTCCAATACTCAGCATAAGCTTAATGAACAGGTTTTAAAAACTGGATCAAAGTACATTTCCCCCCTTTAAAATACTAAGGAGTAAGAAAGATTCTTTTAGGGGGATTATCTTAGTAGTTTGATATAATTTAATTAAAAAACCCCAAATTTTAGACCACTAACATCAGCCACTTCAAGTTACTGACCCAAATGACAGTATTATAGAGTTGAAAATTATGAATAAAAATGACTGCACCACACATCAGCACACCCACATTCATGATCAATTTCAGCACATACCATTCAGCATTGGGATGAGAAGTTGAAACCATTTGTGGAAAATCAATCATGGTGATATGGTCATCTTGATCCAAAATGAGATTGAATTCATTGAAATCTCCATGAATCAGGCCATGATTTGCAAGTTTGACAATTAGTTCCATAGCTTCATCATATACTGATGCAGGATCTTCAACATGGTGTATGTGACATCTGCAAGTATTTTAAGTATGAAAATAAGTTATTTGTACTAATTTACAATTTTAATGAAAGTGTGTGTGTATATATGTATATATATATATATTTCCATTCTTTCTCCTTAGCAGCTTTCTCTTTATTCCCATCAACATAGACCTAACAGTGTCCATCTTTAAAAAATTCAGCCACACCCTGTATCGATTCTGTATCTTCTTTCCATTGTCACATCCTTTCTTTAATCTTTTTTACAGCCAAACTCCCCTACATGTGCTTTCTCCAAATCTTTTCCTCCCATTTCAAACAGGCTTTCTTCATCCACCCTGTTCCAGTACAATAGCCCTTGTCAAGACTACTAATGACTTCTATGTTGCTAGATCCAATGGTCAATTCTTTTTTTTTTTTTTTTATCCTCACCCGAGGATATTTTTCCATTTTTTGTACAGATAGAATGGGGGGCAGAGAAAGGAAGGGAGAGAGAGAGAGAAACATCAACGTGAAGGGACACATCGAGTGGCTGCCACCCGCACGACCAACCAGGGCCGGGGACAAACTGCAACCGAAGTACGTGCCCTTAGCGGGAACCGAACCCAGGTCTCTCTGGACCGCAGGCCGACGCTCTAACCGCTGAGCCAAACTGGCCAGGGCCCAATGGTCAATTCTCAGTCTTCATCATACTTGGTTTGCCGCTTCTTTCCCCTCCCTGAAACACTTCCTTCACTTGACTCTTGGTCTACCAACTCTTTAGGCTGTCTTCTTCCTACACTGGTCATTTCTCCTAGTCTTTTTTGCTAATTATTTTATCCCTGACCTATAAATTTTGGAGTTCCTCAAAGGTTAATTCTAGAGCCTCTTATCTTATTTAAAATCATCTCTACTGGTCTCCTTCATGCTCACGGTTTTAAACACCATACATATACTGATTTGAATCTAAACTTCTCCTCTGAGCTCTTCAGCATTTCAAATTTACCATGTCCCAAATGGTAACTCTGATTCTGCCGCACCTTCTAACTTCACTCTGTTCTTCAGTCTTTCCCGCTCACCTCTAAATGTCAGCTTTATTCCCCCAAGTAACTCATCATTCAGGTCCAGAACCTGGTTGTTACCTTAGACTCACACCTTCCTTCATATCAATATGCCAAACAAATCATGTTGGCTCTTCCTGGAAAACATAACCAGAATCTGACCACTTATTGTCACCTTGACATCTATCACTCTGATCTAAACTACCATGTCTCTTGACTGGATTGTTATAATAATCTCCTAAATGGTCTTCCTACTTCTGTTCTTATCTCCTTTCAGTCTACTCTCAATACAGCAGCCAATGATCCTATTAAAACATTAGTCAGGTCATGTCTCTTCTCAATTCAAAACCCTCCAATGGCTTCTTATCTCAATCAAAACTAAAAAGTCCTTATGCTAAATATCACTACAATGGCAATCACATTACAATATATAAAAGTATCAAATCAACATGTCATATACCTTAATTTATACAATATCATGTGTCAAATACATTTCAATTAAAAAAAGTTTTAAAGGCCTTGCAATGACCTACAAACTCTTTAAGTGATCTGGCCCCGTGTTGCATCTCTGATCTAATACTTACAATTTCTCCCTTACTCATTCAACTGCAGCTCAGTGACATCCTCCCTGTTCCTTGAACATCTGGGCATACTCCCATCCTATGGCTTATGCACTTGCTGTCCACTCTGCCTAGAATCTTCTGAGATATCTTCATGGTTTCCTCTCATTTTTTTCAGGATTCTTATCAGTGAGACTTTCCCTGGCCATCCCATGTAAAATAGCAGCCTCCTATACCCACCCCAGTCCTTTTTGTCCCCCTTACACTGCTTTATTTTTTATTCATAGCATTTACTACCATCTGATACTTAAAGGGTAGGGCAAATGTAGGTTTACAGTTGTGAGTACACAAAAAAGATTTTATTCTTGGCCCAGCCAGTGTGGCTCAGTGGATTGAGTATCGTCCCAAGTACTGAGAGGTCTGGGTTTGATTCCTTGTCAGGGGACATGCCTGAGTTGTGGGCTCAATCTCCAATAGGGGGCATGTAGAAGACAGCCAATGGATGTTTCTCTCTCTCTCACCCTTCCTCTCTCTAAAAAAAAAAAAAAAAAAAAAAATCATTAAAAACATACTTAAAAAATTTATTCTTGAATTATTTATTATTTTCCATATGAACAATTGTAAACCCACTTTTGCCCCATCCTGTATTTTCAATTTTTTTTCCTTTATTGATTTTTAGAAAGAGAGGAAGGGAGAGGGAGAGAAATAGAAATATCGATGAGGGAGAATATTGACTGGCCACCTCCTGCATGCCTTCCACTGGGGATCAGGCCCAAAACCTGGGCATGTGCCCTGACCAAGAATCGAACCAGCAACCTCTTTGTGCTTGGGTCGATGCTCAACCACTGAGCCACACCGGCTGGGCATATATTTTCTGATTTAGCTATACGTCATGTCTCCTTCCATCAGAATGTAAGCTCTGTGAGGGCAGAGATCTGGTTTACTGTTGTGCATAGAACAGGGCTTGGCACATACTAGATTGTTAATACATACTGTTAGAATGAAACTGCATTTTCAATTTACCACTGAGTCTACTGTTATATGTTAATTTCTAAATTCCCAGAAACAATATTCTGCTTAATTAAAAAAAATTTTACTTGAAAAAAACTGAACCTTACATTTATTATGACCCATGGTTTCAATAAAAATACTTACAGAGGATAGCCATTTATGAGTTCCATGACCACTGCATGGCGATTATAATCAACTGGCTTTGGAACTGGAAATTTCCTCTCATACAATGCCTAAAACATAGCAAACAGGTATAAACTAATCAAGAGGTCATTAATTTTTAAGAAACAATAAAAATAAATATATCTGCCCACAACCAGAAGGAAAACATACAAACCTTTACAGATTTACAGTTAACACATGATTATTTACATATGGCTTAGTCACAGCATAGAATGAGCTGTACATTAAAAAAAAAAATTAAACCAATTTACTTAATTCAGTTTTTCTCCAAATATACATTTATTGAACACTGAGTAAATATTACACACTGTGCTAGGGTCACAAAAGTGAGTGTGAAAACTCTCTGCCTTTAGGATATATACTCTACACTTTTGTAAGTTTCTGCCACTTATTAGACAGTGCTTAAAAAAAATAAAATAAAAATAAATTGTGGCTTAGGAAGTACTCTGTCTTCTGATACATCAGGAAATAAAATATTCCAATAAATTAGCACTCATCTTTTTTTTCGGACCAAAGATATGACATAAATCTATTATGTGACAAACACATAATAGTAGCCTGAGTCAAATGTTATTTCAGATCATCCATAGATCCATCTTTTCCCCTATACTTAACTTTTTCTATCCTTTGCTTACAAAGTCCTGTTATTACTTCCTTCAAAATGTTATATTTATGACCTCTGCTATTTGAAGTGTTACCATTTTTAAGTAAGCCTTTGTCATTTATACCCAATTACTCCAATAGAGAGGTTCTAACTCTTTCCACCATACCTAACCTTTATTCTGTGTACCAACATCAAACTAAGATGCTTATGTTAATGCTCAATTTTTAAAATCTGTAGTGGCTACTTGCTTTGGGGTAGTGAACACACAATACAGTGTACAGGTAACATGTTGTGGAATTGTACACCTGAAACCTATATATGATTTTGTTGATAATGTCACCCCAATACATTAAAAATAAAATAAAAATCTGCCATGGCTATAAATACTGATTTTAATCTCAACTACTTTTCCTAGTTTTCAAAACTCTCTTTAATCCACTTAACCAGTCCTACTTTTCCCCTAAAACTCTCTCCAGTAAGCATTCTGGAGTGAAATCAGGACAGTCACCTCAGTGACTATTACCTAGACACACAGGGCTTACACCCATATTCATGTCTTTGCCCACAGTGGTTCCCCTGCAAAATGCACTGTTTTACTGTCTTCTCCTTATATCCAAATCATATGCATGTTCATTACTTGACCCAAATCCCCCTTTATGAAGCCTCCTTCATCAACTATTCTACTCTATAGACGTTTCTCTAAACACATATAATCTGATTTTTAAATTCTTTGTTTTACGTGTGTTCGTGTTATCTTCCCAACTTTAAGACACAGACTGTACTGGTTATTCTTTTGGTATCTACTTCTATAACCTACCCTACCCTAGTATACTTAATACAGTGGTAGGCACATAGCTGATACTCATTATATACTTATTAACAGTGTTAATTTAAAAAGACTATCTACTCTACTTCCTACCTTCTTTGGACAGCAAATAGATGACTTCAACTCCCCCAAAATTGGTTGGTTGGCTTAAAAACATTTTTTTTTTTTCAATGCAAGTGATTTTGAGCATGCCCTGGCAGCTCAATAGCATATAGTAGCTTTAACTATTGTCATAGTGGTCTAGCCCGTGTACCATAGCTTAACCCTTAAGCTATAGTTCAATTTTATTTTATTCTCTATAAGGAAAATATTAATGTATTGAAGAAAATGTTTTAAGCACAAACAAGTTCTGTTGTTGTACCTTCATATAAACACCTTGAGAATATACTTAATATAGTTTTGGGAAAATGTGTAATAATTTCTACCAAACTGCCTACTTACTTGACTACTATAAGATATAAATAATTAGTATAAGACAACAAATACATTAACATGTGTGGTATCAGTATCATTTATACTATGTTGAGAATTTTCCCCATGACCACTAAAAATTAAGCACGTGAATTAAAATAACTACTTAAAGAACACTAAAATGAAACTTCCAAGAAACACTGATCACATTCTGGATGACTTTTAATAATTTAAAATTTTTTTTAAATTTTGGTAAATTATAACAAATAAATCCTACTGAGAGAATAATAAAAATGTAATGTTATTTTCTGCTTAATTTAAACATCATTGAAGATATGTTATCAATTAGATATAGACATATGTACAGCCTAAATATACATTCACACATACACATTTGTGAGGCAATCACATCATTAATGTATTTTTAATTACTGCTATCTTATAGTACTGTGAATTATATGCTACTTTTATACATTTATAACAATTAAAAATACCTTCACATAGAAGGAAATGACCAGAAAAACAAGAGAAATGAATCAATAAGAGTTCAAAGTGACTGTAAGGAATGGGACTAGAAGTAGGGAGACAGATACGGGGCAACAGACTGATGCTTGTAAGTACTGCCTTTCAGCTACAGGAAATACTTGGTTAAAAAATGAAATTATTTTTAAAATACCTTCATATAGGCAAATTCTTTCATGGCAGAGAGACGAGATAAATAAAGCCAAGACATGTTATGTCTGTGTTTATGGTAATCACGCTTGTTTTTCAGATTTCGAAAGGAGGTTCTTCCCAGTCTGTGAAGCTTTAATGCAAATTGCTGCCCTTCTCCATTTGCAACAATATAAATATCTAGAGCCAAGATTTTAAAAAGATCATTATTACACTTTATGATAATAATATGAAACAATTCTAACTGTTTGATTTTATTTGTATCAAATTTTATCTTTTCTAAACACCAGAAATACTACCAGTCAGCAAAATTATTTTACTTATTATCCAAAATTATAAGATAACATGTATTACTATTTACTACAAAAAAAAAAACGGGCGCAATGTGTCAAAGGTTACTGCTTCCAAAGGTGCTCAATGCTCAATTCAATTTAATGGCAAAACAGCTAATTGTTTCTCAGGGTACTAATATACAAGAAGTGATTTAATAATATCTTCATTTTCAAAACAAGAAGTTCACTTCTGCAGTTGTCACAATATAATCCTATAATCAGGGTGGAGCAGATCTTCCCCTTTGTATTCCACCTATCAAAACAAGTTGCTCTCTGTAATACTGACATGTAGAACATGTCCTAATTATTCATGGGAAACTTTATTTAATTATCAAGAAACAACCTCTTTCTTACATTGGTGGGATTATAAATTGGCACATTTTGGAGGGAAATTTGGTAATATCAGTCTTTTAAGAGTCTTTTTTAGGAATGTATTTATAAATATATTTTCACAGAGTCATCTGCACAAGAGTGTTCACCACATTATTTACAAAAAAAGAGTGGAAGTAACTTAAATGTGCATCACAAGTAGGACTGGTAAAATCAATTATGGAGTGCCCATACAACCTAACACCCAGCCAAGTCTGATGTGAAATATCAGGGATGCATCAAATGTAAAAAGATCAAGGTGTAGAACAGTAAGTACTGTTTGTTTTTACTTGTGATTAAAAAGATATGATGACTGTATACAGATTATTTCATAACCTGTATTATTTTCAAACAAGTTTTCAATTTACTGTTTAGTTAGAAAAAATAAACTAAAAGACTAATGCTTTCTCGAAGGGTATATAACCTAAAGCAAAGAAAATAGTACTGTTCAAATAGTACTGTTAGTACTTACCAGATTCTTTGCCAACACCCATCTGGTTTCCAACACTCTCAACTACCTGTCTAGAAGAAAGTGTTTTCAAAGCTAGGTAGTCATAGCCTGCATTTGTCAACCGATAGCCCTGTACAGCTAGACAAAAGCAAATGAGAAAGACCGTATTTTAGTTACAGTGTACCACCAAGTCACATCAAGTCATGAGAAGAATTAGACATGGGAATTCCTAGCTGGAAAAAGATAAGCTATCTAGTTTTACAAGTTTAGCATTTCTTCCTATGATCTGTGTTTCTTCTTTAGAGCAGTGTTACTCAAAGTGTGACCCACAGACTGACACCATATGTTACTAAGTCTGTGACAAGATAGACTGAAACAAAGTGGTTAAGTTAAAATTTTTTATATCAATTTGACCAAGTTATTTTATGTCTTCAACTTTAATAAGGAATCTGTGCCTACATTTTTCAGTTCATTTCATTTTTCTAGTAACAACTTTTTGTTATTTTATAACAGTATGGATCTATGATAGGTTGAAAAAAAGAAACTCATCCCCCACCACAAGTAGTTTGAGAAGTAATGTTCTATAGTCTTGTGGCAGATGGTATTTTCCAAAGATGGCAGCATCAATATCTCTATCGTATTTGCCCTTATGTAATTGGAATTTGCTAATCTATCAGAAGGTACAGGCTACTTCTCCATCCTTTTTGATGTGACTGGGCCCTGTGACTGCTGTAACCAATAGAACACCGTAGAAGTATGCTAGGCAGTTCTAGGGCTAGTGCTTTCCTGTTCTGTCAACTTCCACTTCCTGCCTTTTGGAATGCTTGCTCTGGTGGAAGCCAGTTACAATGAAAAATCACAAATGGTGCCTCAAATACTTACTTTTGGTACGCTCCCAAGCTATGAGTTTATGTTTCACTAATTCTCTCAAAACTTTATTACAGCCACCATGTTTAAGGCTGGCTATAGAAGCAACCAAACTGCAGGGAACTATTTCATGGTTCTTCATGCCCATTTCAACCTGAAATGAAAGGATTCATTATGTAATCATAATCAACACAAAGCTGCTATCAAATTTTGCTAAGAAATTAACTTCTCTGACCATGTAGTTCCCCAATCAGTTCTGCAACATAATTACTACCTTCTCTGGACAAACTTTTAAAAAAAGTTTTGTTTTTTCCTTTATTGATTTGAGAGAGAGAGGAAGCGAGAAGGAGAGATAGAAACATTGATGAGGGAGAACATCAATTGGCTGCCTCCTGCATGCTCCTCACTGGGGACTGGGCCCACAACCTGGGCATGTGTCCTGTCCGGGAATCCAACCGGCAACCTCTTGCTGCATGGGTCGACACTCAACCACTGGGCCACACTGGCCGGACTCTGGACATACTTTTAATCACAATTTAATCACTGATATTCATATTCTCTCTCTCTACTAAATGATATGCACTCCAAGGGTAAAGAATGTAAGTGCTTAACAGTTACTGACATTTGGTAAATACTAAAACATGTACTGATATTCAAATATTTGTCTTTAAAAATTAAAGATATTCTAGATATTTACTGAGAAAGTATTAATGAGAAAGTATCATATGTAGGTAAAGGATAAAAACAATGTGTAAAAATACTTTCCACCCCTGGAGAATATATTATCTATCCGTGGAAATAAGAATGTGCACATGTAATTCTACTAGAAGGTAAGAAATGATAAGTGCCAAAAAAAAAAAAAAAAAAAAGAGGTGGCTCAGAGTAGAATAAGAATACTTCTAGTTGAGGGATCAGTTTCAAGGAAGCAGCAGCACTTGTGACTGACTTTGAGATACAGGAAAAGACAAAAAAGATTTGGATATGGCACACAGGCAAGAAAGTACAGAGCACAGGAACAGTCATTACAGTGGTAGCTCAGATGGGATGGCATGTAGAGTTCATGAAAGGAAGGCTGAAAAGCACTTTTGAGTAAGATATGGAAGGCCCTGAATACAAAGAAATCTTAGATTTTATACAGAGGAAAGTAGAGAACACTTGAAGAAGTTTAGGCAGGGAGATGTATAAACAGTTGTTTTAAGAACATTCGTCTAACAGAAATATGCAAAGTAGTTTACAGAAAGCGAAAACTGGAGGTGCTATATTGGAGAATTAAGATGACAGTCTAGGACATAGGAAATAGAAGGCACAACAGGGAAGAGGTAGGGGTAACAGAAGGAAAGAATTAAAGATCTTTGAACATAGTATGGAATTGGCATTGGAACTGGGAGGGTAAAGGAAATGAATCAAAGTTGAAGTGAAGAGAAAGAGCAGGTTTAAAAATAATACGTAAAAGTAATAATAATTATTTGAATGGAGGGGGTAGACTAAATTGATGCATTTGATTTGTGCACAATGAATTTGAGATGTTGAAAGGTCCTTCAAGTGAAGATGTTTTAGGAAAATTGGATAGGCTATATTCCGGAATGAAGTCATAATTAGACGGGAAAAATGGTCAGTTATCGAATAAAGGTAAGAGATGAAGTCATGGAGTGGATGAGCTCATCAAGAAAGAGATAATAGAAGAAAAAGAAGGGTTGAGGAGAATTTGAGGGGAAGTTTACATTGAAAGGTAAAGGCAGCCAAAGTATGATGACTGATAGAGGACATGCCAAAGAAGTAAAGGGAAGACAGGGTGAAGGAAAGGTGGCCACTGATACCAATGCTGGTGAGAATCAACTGAGACTGAAATATTATATTTAATGATGTCATTCCTTAATGAGATTCAAAAAGGAACTTGGATATTGCAGAAACAAAGTTTCAGAAAATAAATCTGGCATCGTTCTGATGCCCCAACAAAAACCTCACACTTTAAACCTAATTATTCTTCCATGTTTTGTTCCGTCTCTCCCAGCCTCTAACATTTCTTTCTATTGACTCCCTTATTTCTGTCAGAGGCATTAAGGAATGAGTGAGTGTGCTGAGGAAGCAGAGAAGGAAAGTATCTTTCAGAAATGACAGCCCTGGCCAGTTTGGCTCAGCAGTTAGAGCGTCCGCCTGTGGACCGGAGAGCCCTGGGTTTGGTTCCCGCTAAAGGGTAGGAACCTTGGTTGCAGTTTGTCCCTGCCCAGGTTGAGGTTATGTGGGTGGCGACCAGTCCATGTGTCTCTCCCACATTGATGTTTCTCTTTCCCCCTCTCTCCCTCCCACTCTATCTGAAGACAAATGCAAAAAAAAAAAAAAAAAAAAAAAAAGTCCTTGGGTGAGGATAAAAAATAAGTAAATAAAAAAAAAAAAAAAAAAGAAAGAAATGACAGTACGTAGAGAAAGTCCAGCTGAACTGAAGAAGCTATCGGAGGAAAAAGTGTCACCTGAATTTCATACGGAATTTGCATTTGATTGTTTAATCCCTATAATGAAAAGAAAACAGCTCTTACAATAAATTTATTGTTTTATTCCGCAAATGTCCAATCTCTGTGTTGCTTTTTGTGCCAGGAGACTAAGACCATAAAACCAGTTTTTGTCATTTCCCTGCTTGGAAACACTCAGTGGCTTCCCTATACTTAGAATATATTCCAAATTCTTTACAAACCCTAATCAGGCTCTCACCTTTTCCAGTTACATCCCCAACCACTCAGCCTCTTGCTCATTATGCTCCAGCTACACTGGCCTCTCCATTCTTCAAAAATTGTTTCTGCCTCAGAGCCTTTTCACTTACTACTGCTGTTTCTTCTGCTTGAAACTCTTTCCAAGGACTTCACTACTCCTCATTCAGCTCCTATTATCCTCCTACTCTTTCTTTCACTTAGCAAGTATTTATTCAGCACCCAACAAGTTCCAAGAACGTTTTAAAAAGCCTTAAAACTTTGGTTACAACAGCAACCAGACAAGGCTCTTGCACTCAGCAGTATGTCTCCTCTGGCTACAGAACTTGAAGGTAGCACTCAAGCTCCCTCCCCACTGTGCACGGTTTCTATCCCGGTATCCTCCTTGTCATCCTCATAGTACTTACTGTCGGATGTTAACCCTTGTTATTAATTTATTCATTTACTTGATGATCTGTCTTCCTTGTCTTGTCTGTACCCCGTAGAATTGCCTAAAACTGTCACTGAAAACCCGACACACGTGTTGACTGAGTGAATCGGAAGGAATGCTCTGTGACTGCGGCTGTGCGAGGGGAACTCAATGCTGCTAATTCTCAGGAGCCGTAACCCTCAGCGGGTCGGAGCTCAGGGTCAGAATAACCTCCCGGGCCAGAGATGCCGGTGGCTCTGAGCACCAGGGAAGCAGAAAGAAAGGAAATAATCAGAAGAGGGGCCTTTGCTGTCTGTATCTGAGGGACGATATGGGCATCTGAGCAAAAGCTTCTGAAAAATCCGACTCTCGTCCTCCTCCCCATTCCCACCCTCGGCCGCGTTCCGGGGCCCAGAGCGCGCTCCGCTCCGGCCAACTTCCAGGAACAGGACGCACGGGGGGAATGGGCAGAGGACAGGTTTAAGCGCGAGTTTCTTACCGCGGTCAGGACCCTGAAGTCATCCCGGCTCATGTAACGCAACTTGGCCACATTCACCTTCCCCATGGCGGTCCCAGGCGAGCCCACAAGCCCCTTCCACGACAGCCGCGGAACGCAAAGCACGTCGGTACTCCGGCGTCTCTGGTGCCGCAAAGCCGAGGGGCGGTGCGCGCATGCTCCGCTCCTTACTTCGGGTCCTTGTCAATGGATGGAGGTCGCTTCTCACTCGCACGAGAAAGTAAAACTTCTTCTGGGTCTTATAAAGCGTATAGCATGGAAAAGGTAGAGTACTTTTTTCAGTTTTTTTTTTTCATGTATATGAGTTGGCGGACTGTAAGAGTTCTCTATAATATGATGTTTTATTTTTTGTATCTGCCAGGACCAACTCCTTAAAAGGACGCGACCTGCGTCTGAGAGTGTTAACTTTTATCAAGTTTTATCCCTAAACAGCAACTGTTACTTTAGGTAAAGCGAGTTCCAACAACAGAGGAGGAAAATGAACCTGAGCGCGTCTCCATACGATCAAAGGCCTTAGAGATGAAAAGGATAGTAACCACATAGCAGTCTCTCTTCTAGCTGCACCTGCTCAGGATGGGAATGGTTAATGAAAAGTGTCTCGTATCGGCTCGGTACCAGGTTTTAGGTCGCGCTCCAGACTCCGGAGTGCGCCTGCGCCTGCGCCTGGTGGGGATAGGGTTTAGTGGGAGGGGACGTTGTTGCTTCTGCACATTTCTACTGTATTCGATGGTTTCCTGTGGACCTAGGAGGTTTGGCTATTCAGAGCTTAGGCGCGTTTTAAGGGCTTTAGGAAGGAGTAACCCACATTGGCCCTGGTACACCCCTCGACCTCCACAAGAAATACTCAACCGAGCAACCATAAACAACTTGCACCCATCAAAGAAGAAAAAGGATGCGTAGTCTGCTTTATACCGTCCCTACAACAGCAAAGAGCATAACATACTTGCATGATAGTATTTGTGTTTATATTCTGTTTCATGAATTATATTTTAAAACTTTAAAAGGCAGTTGTTTTGGTATCCCTCACGTTAGGTGTGAGTGCTACATATGGTCAAGGAGGATGTGCAGTCCGCCTAAGCCTCGATTTCATTTTCACCCACTGGTGTTTCTCCTGTTTCAGGGTCTAGCCTCAAAACTTCCAGTGTAAGCTTTGGAATTTGGTATTTAGAGTTAATTTTTTTTTTTTTTTCATGTGGGGTTCCACTGATCTATGTGCTGGTTTTTCTTCTCTCCAAGGCCCTACTTAGTATTTTGTAAAACATGTACTGGAGTTAGAAGGCAGGCAGTTGAGTCTGCTCTGCCTTTCTAACCAGAATTGTAATACTCTGAAATCATTGAATGCAGGAAGCAGAACAACTTTCTATTCTCTACACTACAACCTTGGTTTCTTTTTTATCTGAATGCATAAGTCTTTAATTAGCTATGTCCAACTAAATGTAAACCTCCACCGAAATGTAGCCTCCCCCATCCCATACTTCACATGAGAGAACATGAAAATAAAAAGTTTCAAAGAAACCAAATTACTAACTTTCGGAGCACTGGAGAATGAGAAACACAAATCATTTGGACATCCACTCCCAATGCAACACGTTAAGAGACATTGCTAATCCATAATGGCACAATCCTTTCCTTCATACTCAACTCTACTCAAGACAACCTCCACTTAATTGATTGGATTTGGTTAGAATTGCTGTCCTGGGTCTGGAGTAGTTTCTGGGTTCAATTACACAGAGCCCAAATCTCTTATATTTTCAGTATTAATATTTTAAAAATAAAATCAACTTAATTAAACTGTTACCAAACTCAAGGGGTTCACCTCTTAGGGTGCTCTATCCAAGAAGGAAGGTGTAGTTGTTAAATAATTTCATTAACTTGTAGCAAGTAAAGGAGCAGGGATTCATATTCCAAGCTGTTTTCCAGGAAGCCTGGATCCAGGAAGGGAAGCTTAGCCATTGCTTACATACTCTATTTGGTTAATCACATGTTGATTTCTTCTTTGCAGTGGGCTACCTGTCAGGCTCATCCTCTTTACATCTGCTTTTGCAAAATACTGTGCTACATTTTAATCTTGAACAAGAATAGCATTTAGTAAGAACTGCCCAGAGCTTGAGACTCTTATCCTATCTAACAAGACCTTTGAAGAGTAAAAGTGATTCAAGTACTTTTCAGTATTCTGTTAATTCTATCATACCATGCTTGGTAATGACTAAAACAAAAAATTCAGAGTAGTCTTGCCCTGGCTGGTATGGCTCAGCAATAAGTGTCTCCCACAGACCAAGAGTGTTTGGTTCAATTCTGACCAAGGGCATGTACCTAGGTTGCAGTTCGTCCCATTCCAGTTGGGGTTGTGCAGGTGGCAACCAACTGATGTGTGGATGTTTCTCTCTCTCTTTCTTCCTCCCTCTCTCCCTCCAGTTCTATCTGAAGATTAATGTCAAAGTGTCCTCGGGTGAGGATTAAAAAAAAAAAGCCCAGTAGTCTCATTCTCTCATTTACCATTTATCATATAAGTATGCCATAAGTTTTGCTCAGTCCTGAAGAAACTCATTTCCAAACCATAAGCCTTGTGATGGAAGAAGATGAATAAAAAGTTAAAGAATAATGTGACATAAGTGTGCAAAGAATCTATCACATTATTTCCTCATCCCAGACCCCCACCCCCATCACTCACACACAAATACTTTGTCCTCACAAACTGAAGAGGATCTTGATTATCTACAAATTGAAGTTTAAATTTCTTGAAGTTCAAACTTCTTAGGTTAGCATTCAAAATCTTTAACAATCTGTGTCAATATTTATTTTCAAGTAGCATATATGCCTGCATAATTGAACTACTTTGGTTTTTTCTTGTACAACGTCCTTGATTTCCTGTCTCAGGGCCTTTTTCTTTCACCTATAATGTTCACCTTCCCTCCTTTTCTTTTTCCCTCTTTATAGTCACCATATATATATATAATCCTACCTCTATTCTTCAGATGCTATGTACCCCATAAAGCTTTTCTTTATTATCCCTATATTAGTTTCCTAGGGCTGCTGTAACAAATTATTGCAAAATTGATGGTTTTAAACAATAGACATTTATTCTTTTGTAGTTCTGGACCATGGTTCCCCTGGAGACTCTAAGGGAGAATCTGTTTCTTGCTTCTGCCAGCATTAGGTGAATGCTGGCATTTCTAGGCTTGTGATACCTCATAGTGACGTTGAACATTTTTTTATATGTCTCTCGGCCATTTGTATGTCCTGTTTGGAGAGGTGTCTATTTAGGTCCTCTGCCGATTTTTTAATTGGGTTCTTTGTCTTCCTTTTGTTGAGATGCATAATACTCTATATATTTTGGAAATTAACCCCTTATCTGATGTATTATTGGCAATTATGCTCTCCTATATAGTGGGTTCCCTTTCCATTTTGATGACTGTTTCCTTCTCTGTGAAGAAGCTTTTTAGTTTGATGTATTCCCATGTATTAATTTTTTTTCCTTTGTTTCTCTTGCCTTAGGTGTTGTATCAGTGAAAATTCTGCTGCGTGTGATGTCTGAAATTTTGTTGCCTATATTTTCTCCTAGAATTTTTATGGATTCACGAGTTACATTTAAGTCTTTTATCCATTTTAAGTTTATTCTTGTGTATGGTGTAAGTTGGTGGTCTAGTTTCATGTTTTTGTTTGTAGCTGTCCAATTTTCCCAACATCATGTACTAAAGAGGCTGTCTTTACTCCATTGTATGCTCTTGCCTCCTTTGTTAAATATTAAGTAAGCATAATGTCTTGGGTCTATTTCTGGGTTCTCTGTTCTCTTCCACTGGTCTATATGCCTGTTCTTGTACCAGTACCAGGCTGTTTTGATTACAGTGGCTTTGTAATATAACCTGAAATCTGGTATTGTGATTCCCCCCAACTTTGTTCTTCTTTTTCAAGATTGCTGTGGCTATTCGGGGTCTTTTTTGATTCCATATGAACCTCTGAAGTATTTGTTCTAGTTCTGTGAACTATGTCATTGGTATTTTAATGGGGATAGCATTGAATCTATAGATTGCTTTGTGTAGCCCTTTTATCTTTAATGATTCTGGCTACTTTGTAAAATCCCCTACTGGCTCATGAATTAGATTATGGAAAAAATTTTAACAAGGAGATTGAATAAAAACTTTTAGAGTCAAGGAAAATAAAAATGATACATTTATGTTTAAAATAACATACTTGCTAAACTCAGGAAAATTGTGACAGTCTTTACTGCACAGGGGCTACATTGCCATTTGAGTGTTAGAGGTATCATTGGTGGAGAAAGACACAATATGGAATATATAGATGTGTGGGATTTATGGCAATTTCCAATGAGAGACACAATGCAGACTTGATGGGTTCTGGAGTATGGCAGACTATGCAGCAGAGACATACATACCTTTAAAATAAACAGCTTCTGGCATGCTGAAGAGCCCCGAGAGAGATAGAATACCAAGTGACATTGTAGCCACAACTGTCCTTCATGAATTTTCTTTCTGTTAGATCAACCATGTTATAAGGTTGTGCAAGCACAGGAAAAATCCATTAAGGTGAAGCTGGTACATTTAGGACTGAACACAAGCAGGACCAGAGGGCACAAACAAGCTGCATGAACAGGTAGCCTGCACTCCCATGTAATCCACTGCTGTTGTACAAATACTCCTCCCTCAGCTGATACCTCTGTGGTTGATCTCTTATGATCAGCTAGTAAAGGAAAAAACGTCCACATTATTAAGTTCATTGATGAGTCATTTTGATATTTTGGTTGAACTACTGCTCCAGGTGGGTAGGAAGTAGTGATCAGAGGATATCCTCCCAATATGCAGAGCCATGGGAAGTGCACCTAATCCTCCACTTTGTGTAGCAAGAGAAAAAGTCCAAGGTTAGAATATACATGGATTCATAGACAGGGGTGAATAGCTTGGCTGCTTGGTCAAGGGGCTGGAAGGAGAAAATTTGTTACATTGGGGAATTCTGAGATAGAGGCATGAGAATGGGTATATGGGAGTAGACAAGAAGTGTGAGGATCTTTGAATTGTATACTGATATCTAACACAGAAAAGGCACTAAAACAGCCAGGTAAACTAAAACCTTGTCGAGTTGACAGCAGCCAGCCTCTGTCATTGCAACCTGCCACCTCAA